GAGCTTCCGGGGGCGGGGGCGCGAGCCGGAGGGGATGGGGGTCCCCCGGGAGCCTCGGCCATCCCCGGAAGGGGTCCTGCCTGGGAAAGGTCCGCGCTGCTCCGTGGCCTCTCGGGCGATGGTCCTGGACACGGGCCGGGGTCCCCGGGCTAAGGTTAAGGCCTGGAGGCCAGGGCAGGAGTCGGTGCCGAAAGCGGGGACAGGGTCTGAAAGTTAGGTCAACCGAGGAGGGGGACAGAGTGAGGAGGGTGAGATGACGGGGGGGGGGGGGGGGCACGGATTTAGTGACCTCATCCCCCGTCTCCCGCGGGCGCTAGCAAAGAGCCTCTTTCAAGGCTCGCTACACGCCCCCCGTCCCCCCGGGTCCTAGTGCCCCGCGTGTTCCGGCCGAGTTCAGAAATTGAAGGGGGGGGGGGTGCGATTTGATAATGCGTGCGGATCCCACAGACCTCTGGATCCCCTTCTTCCGTCCCCTCAGTCTGTCCGGCCCCTCCTCACGACCTGTTTGCCTCTAAAGCGCCTTTTGTAAAACCTGACTCCTTTGCGTCGCTTTATAAGTGTATTGATGGAGTGATGCGCGGGGACAAGCTCCCCCTTTAAGGCCGGTCTGCCTCACCTAGCACACTTGGGGTGATGTGGACCGCCTGCAGGTAGGGGCGAGAGGGCCGCTGGGCCCCGGGCTTTAGGAAGATGTGGTGCAGGCTCCCAGATGTGGGGTCTCGGCCCTTGGCTGGCTTGCCTGGCACCGCTGTTCTCCCGCGGGGCCCCGCCGGCTCCGCCTCTCTGAGGCCAGGGTGGGGGTGGGGTCGAGCTAGCTGGTGCCGTGGGAACCGAGTTTCCCGGGAGACAACTGTGGCAGGCAGGGCCAGAATTGGGGAACAGGACCCATCTACACCATCTAGGGAAGGAGGACCCTTAGACCTCTGTGGGAGAGAACCAGGAGCCGACTCCAGCGGGCGTGGGGGTGGGGGCCCGGGTTCGGAGTGTTAGATCAGGGGGGTGGAAGGATTCCTAGGCTGCTCTCTAGGAATAGACACAGCAGGGGTTGGCAGCGGGGCCACTGGCTGGCACCACGGATCCTGGGCATCCCTCCCAGCCTGGGTGCTAGCCTGCAGGATTGCCCTCCCTCTCTCTGAGCGCTCCTTTCTCCCGTCCTCAAGGGCAAGTCCAGGAGGAAGGAGAGCAACGCCCCCTCTCCCCCCCCCCCCCACACACACACTTTGCCTCTTCAGCTCTTGAGCTCAGGGGACCTGAGCCTGAGGAGGAGACTAGGGGTGAGAGGATCTGGAAGAGCAGGAAGAGGAATGGAGAGATGCCACCCAGGGCCTAGCCTGCCTTCAGTCCTCAAGTGGGCACTGCCAGCTGCTTCCCTCCACCCCCTACCCCTGCTGTGAGCCACTGCCTCCTGTCGTCATAGCAACTGGGAATTAGGGTTTCTCCAGCAGCGCAAGGCCTGGAAGGCAAAGGAGGAAATTACCCCCTAGGACAGTGGGGTGTCTCTCTTTCTTGGGGAGGCTTCAGACTGGGAAGTAGGACTCTGGGTGGTCCTCACTGATTCTCCTAGAGCCCTTCCCCCACCCGTGCCCCTGGTCCCAGCTCTGGACTTGGAAGGAGGCAGGTGAGAAAGAGGAAGCCAGAGAGCCCTTGGAGGGCTCACTGAACCAGCCAGATGTTGGGGCACATGTCTATACCTTTATTCTGAGCACCTGACCTCATGGAGCTGCGGGTGGGAACACCCACTTTTCTTGCCCACTTTTCACCACCTTCAGGACTCTTAACCACTCTCTCTCAAAGGAAAAAGAAAAAGACAGCAGCACTTAGTTCTTTTAAAACTCACAAAACCTGGGTTTTCTCTGTGTGTTCCACCAGCTTTGTGACTTTGGGAACATTAGGTAGCCCCTTGGCTTGTCTCCTTGGAGAAAAGGGCTTACCAGGGCTGTTCTTCCTGCCTCCTAGCACACTGGGGCCACTTGCCATATCCCTCATATTTTTGGCTCTTCCAAGGGCCGGTGCTTCCGGTTCTTCAGCTGCTCTGCCCTTCTGCCTCCTCACCCTCCTCTCTCGTCTCCCCCAGGAGAGACGGCCCTGAGCCTGTGCTGGCCTCACCATGCCGGTCGCTGCCACCACCTCTGAGTCTGGTAAGAATTAGGGGGTGAAGATGGTCTGAATGTCAGTGGTGGAAAGGGTACCAGGTGGGGAACTGGAGAGTGGGGAACTGGTTCAGTGAGCCTGGACCACTACCTGGGTGGTCCATGGAAGAACAAACTTCCCAGGGACCGGAGAGATGGGACAGTGGGTAGGACGTTTGCCTTGCATGTGGCCGACCCAGTTTCAATCCCTAGTACCACCTGAGTCCCACCAGGGGTAAGTCCTGAACACATCCAAAACAAAAAAGGAACATGTGTCCCTCTGCTGCTCCATCCAGCCCCTTGGGGTCTTGGCTGTCTCCCCTGGGTGGTGGGGAGCATGTGGAGACCCCAGGTTGGGGTTACCTCCACAGAGAGCAGGGGTGTGCATGCTCCAGAGATTAGCAGTGGCCTGGAGCTGACTAGGCAGAGAAGTAGTCCCAAGGAGTTGGCCTTGGTGGAAAGTTGGGAGGTAGAAGGTCTGCAGCTACCCTGCTTGGAATGGAAGTCCCTGTGCAGTGGTGACAGGTGGGACCAGGAGTAGACGGGCAGGAGGCAGCGATGGGGATGGGCCAGAGTGCCAGGTCAGGAAAGCTGGCCTCCCTTCTCTAGGAGCTTTCGGGCAAGGTACAAGCCAGCAGGAGTAGCTGCATCCACTCTGGGAGCTGCATCACTGCCTTCCTCCTTGGTGATTGGGGTGAAGCTCAGGCAAGGACAGGGTAAACCCTCTCTCCCTCAGCCCGGATCTGGGGCTAGTCATCTCCCTCTTTGAGCCTCGATTTCCCCAGAAGTGTCAGAAAAGATGAGAACTTCGTGTGTCTGGAGCCCAGGTCCCTTTGCGAATCTGAGGCCAGCCGGTGCTCTTCTCCGGGAACTCTGCGTCCGCCTCAGAGCCTCATGCAGCCCCTGTAAGTGCTTTCAGGGAGCCACTAAGTGATGTTTCCAAGCCAGGGGTCCTCGAAGGGGCCCTAACACCTGTCAGCAGCTCTGCCCTGACAGTGTCTGAACTCCCTCTGCCCAGGCAGCCCCTCCCCTGCCTCCCGGCCCGCTGCTGTCTCCTCTCTGCTGGGTCTCTCAGGCCCAAGTCCCAGGCCCTGCCAATCCCCATGAGAACATGAGCCAGGCAAGCTGCTGAGTGGTCAGGGGACAACTGTAACTCCTGCTTTCCCTGGGAGGCAGTTCCTGCCTACCTCACTGTCCCCTGCGCTGGCCCTGGAGGGGCTCAGGGCCACCACCTTTCATCCAGCCTGCTGGGCCCCTGACTCCTCCCTGCTCCAGCCTGCTGGGCCCTTCTGTAAGCTGCTTAGGGGTTAACCAAGCCATCCCCTGAGCCTCTGATTAAACCTCTCAATCTGGGGTGCTCAGGAAACTGTGAGCAGCACCATGCAGGGGATAGGGAGAGAAGAGCTTGCTGTGGCCGCTTGATGGAGTTCTAGTGGGTGACAGGGTAGGGAGTGGGGCCTCGAGGTTTGGCTCTGGGCCTGCTTCTCTAGAGACCCTGCTCCTCTGGGTGCCATGTCATAGGTGCTTGCCTTCCCTTACCCCAAGAAAAGACAGGAGCAAGCTGTAAAGAGGTGACAAGAGACTTCAAGGCACCCTCTGTGCTTTCCCTGAATTTGGGGGGTGAGGATGGGAGGGGGTCTGCCCTTCTCATGGTACTTGTTGCATGCCCCATAGATCTGAAAGGGACACCCATGCCTGGTGGTCCCACCAGCCCATCTGGGTCCTCTGCCTGCTCCATTCTTCCCCAGGGTCATTATCCCTGTGGTGATAACGTGTGTGGGGTCTTTCCTCTGTGGAGACCCTAATTCCACTAGACAGGCAATGGAATGATTGGGGAGTTGAGAGATCTAACCCCAGGATTCCCGCTCCTGCAGCCTTGCCCTCTCCTTGTCCCCTTTCTTCCCATCCAGGCTAGGATGAGGGGCTCGTTTTATGGACATGGTCCCTTTAAATCTCTCTTGCATCCCCTGGGTAATATCCTGGTGTGTAATCCCCACCTGCTGCCATGGCAACCAGGGGTACCAAGCGACCAGGTGCTGCTCCTCTGGGAATGGCTGTCTAGTGGTAGAGGCGGCACCTGGAGGTGGCCACTGGGGATCCAGGGTGTCCGGGGGATGGAGGCACCGCCCTCTGCCGAGCCTGTCCCTCTTCTGCCCTCAATTCCAGGACTTCCTCGGGGGTCCAACTCCATATCTATAAGCTCCCACCCGGGGCCCTCCCTTACTCATTGGTCTCCAGGGTGAGAGATGTGCGGTGGGAAGGACTTTCCTGCGCACCCCCACCCCCCACTTTTTCTCCTGGCCTTGTTCCTCCGCAACCTCCCTCCCGGCTGGCTTAGGAGGGGATGGATGCTTTCGGGACTTTGCTCCAAGATACGGTGGAACCACGACCTCCCGACCTCCCGGTAGAAATCTGAGCGTTGGTGGGGGACGGAGAGGAGGCTCCTTGGGACCTCTGAGCCTTTAAGGGAGATGGCCCAGAGGAGAGACCAGGGGGTACCCCAACGGTGCGTTAGAGGCAATTGCAGAGGAGGGGGCGGGATCAAGGCAGGCCCGCCTCCCACTTCCCCGTAGCTGGGCAGTGCGGGGTCTGAGCATCATCCCGGTCCTGACGGGCCGCTCCGCTTAGCCCCAATCAGTCAGCCACCTTCTGCACCTCCCCCAGAGGCACTAAGAGGCGGGGACCTGGCACCCCAGGAGTAGGACTCTGTCTCACCACCCCCTCCCAATCCTTTTACTCCCCCTCCCACTCGTCGGCACCACTCGGGGCTCGAGCCAATCAGCAAGGCAGCCAGGGCAGCTGCGCCTTACTATTGGCTGCTCCTGCCGAAGGCGCTCCCCGAGTCCCGCCTTCGTCTGCGCGCCCCCCTCTGGCTGGGAAGGGCCCCGCGCGCGGTGTGGAGGCGACTCCCAGGGACCCCTGTTCGGAGAGGGGCACAGCCATGGCGGCAAGCCCGGGCAGCGGGGCCTCCTTGGAGGGTATATCCCTGGGCTCCTCCGAGGAAGCTGAGCTCCAGAGGGAAGGTAGGGAAAGGCGGGGCGGGGAGGCCGGGGGCAGAGGTGGCCCCGCGGGACTGGGGGCATCTGGGGAGGGTGTCCAGCGAGTCACTCCGGGGAGCCTGCGGGTCAGGGGGTGCGAACTTCCAGGAGAGTGGCCAGAGCGGAGGCAGCGCTCCCTCCTCCAGCGGCTAGGGAGCCCAGGAGGGTGGAACCCAGGGAGCCCCGGGAAAATCTGGGAGGGGCCCTCCCTGGCCTCTTGCGGGTCTCCGGCCAATGCCAAGCCCGGTGGGGGAGGGGTACGGAGGAAGGGGGGCTTTTGAGGGTTGGCTTGGCCATTGTCTCTGGAGAAAGTGAGGCAGGGAAGAGGGTGCCCATGCCACCAGTCAGTTCCAGCACCCCCTCTTCCCACCCCCATTTTCCTGGATGAGGGTATGCTGACAAGTGTGGTGAGATGTGACAGGGACCGTCCCCACCCCCTCGTCCCCCAGTTAGTGCTGCGATGCTGAGTAGGCGTGGGTGGCAGCGTGGCAGCCTAATGATACCCCCTGCCCATCTCTACCCCAGCTGGGCACACTCGGCATCTCCCTCCCCCAGAACCTGCTGCTGCTGCCACCTCTGCTGGGGGTGGGTGGATGAGGACAGCCCCTCCTTGGACCTCAGCAGCCTCCTAGGGGCTCCGTGTCAGGTGTCCTTGTGTCCGTGGTGCTATCCTGTCCCAGGCTGGTCCCCCAGCTGCCTGCTCTGCCCTTTGGTGCCTATGGCCATGCTAGGCTCCGGGGTACCTTCTACTCAGCTCCAGTCAGTGTTCTGGACCTTGACTGTGGCACCCTCTGGTCTTCATGACTTTCTCAGGCTAGATTATGGCTTATCGGAGCTCAGGGGGTTTCTGTACAGCAGCCAGCCCAGCCCACCCATTGTACAGCAGGGGAAGACTGAGGCCAGGGAGAGGCAGTGACTTGTACAGATCACACGGGACACTGGTGCCCGGCCTGCACCCAGGGATGGGCTCCCTGCGCCTCTCACCCCTGAGCTTCTTCAGTCCCCCCAGACAAGGAACAAGAAATCTGGGTCTCTGGGATCCCCAGAATCAGGAACCTCACACCTGTTTTCCTTTCTCCCTCCTCCCCGACTTCCTCTGCCTGGAGCCTCCCACCTGACCTGCCTGGTGATACCTGGGCAGGAGGGCAGAGGGCAGGAAAGCTGCACCCCTGAGCATCAGCCTGGTGCCCTGAGCAGGGCTGGGAGGGAAGAGCCAGTGTTGGTCGGGAGTGGCGTGGGTGGGTGCCCCCGTGCCACCTCCTGTGCGCGTCTCACCAGCTGTTCCTCCTCCTCCAGCCATGCAGCAGGTCCTGGACAACTTGGGATCCCTTCCCAATGCCACAGGAGCCGCCGAACTGGATCTGATCTTCCTTCGCGGCATTATGGAAAGTCCCATAGTAAGGTCGCTGGCCAAGGTATAGTCCTCCGGGGAGAGACAGCGTGGTGGTCTGGGTGTCAGTCCCAGGGGTCCTCATGATCAGGGGATACCTGGAGGGGCCTGTGTGTGAGGCTGACGAGTCTAAGGAACTGTGGGTAGTGGGCTGCACCCCCACTGGGCTGGTAGAGGCGTGTGGGCCTGCTGGGTGCGTGGCTGGCGGGTGGGTGGACATGCTGGGTGTCTGGGTGCCTGGTGGCTGCCAGGTTGTGTAGGGTTGATGGGGGCAGATGCTTTTGGACACTTTGTAAAGTTACCCTATTTTTTTTTGAGGCTAGGGGCCTCATCTGGCAGTGCTCAGGGTTACCCATAGTCCGAACTCAGTTCCACATGCGATGCCAGGGACCGAACCCAGGTCAGTGAGGCAAATGCTCTCCCTGCTATACTATCTCTACGGTCCCTAAAGTTGCCTTTTTGTTTGATTCTTGGCTTTTTGGGTCACACCCGGCGATGCTCAGGAATCACTCCTGGAGGTGTTTGGGGAACCATATGGGATGCTGGGGATCGAACCTGGGTCAGCTGCATGCAAGGCAAATGCCCTCCCCACTGTACTATTGCTCCAGCCCTGAAAGTTGCCTTTTAGAGGTCATCTGCCACTCCTCAGGCCGCTCCACCAGGAAGGGAAAGCAACACAACACTCTGCCAACAGCCTGGTGAGCAGACGCTGTAGATTATTTGGGAGCCTAGTGGTCAAGGAAGGCTTCCTGGAGGAAGGAGCCCTTGAGTACACAACCTTAACCATGAGGAGGGCATTTGGGGCTGTGGGAAGATCTTGAGCAGAAACAGAGGCGAGAAAGAGGCAGAGGCGGAGGGGACTGAGTGTGAGGCAGGAGCTGCAGGTGCGAGACGGAGCGTGAGCCTGGAGTTGCAGGGTGCTGGGGGCTGTGCTGAGCCTTCTGGCATCCATGGGGGAGGTGGATGGAGGCCATGGCAGGATCTGGGGAGCCTGGAGCTCCACAGTGACCCTGAGGTCTGCGTAACAACTTTAAGGGACATCAGACACTCCAGGAAGCCTAGACAGGTGTGTAAGGGGCAGGGATGGGGCCCGTGGGGCACCCGGGGTCCTGCCCAGGGTTGAATGAAACAGGAGGCAGAAAGGGGAGAGAGGAGGTGCCCTCACTGTGTGGGAGGCGAGCCTGGGGGTTCGGGGGATCAGGCCTCCTTGCTGCCACTTCCCCGGGCAGGGGGAAGCATGTTTGCTGCAACCAGAGGCAGACAGAAGGGGGTTAGAAGTGACAGGGTGAGGGGAAGTGAGGGGGTACCCCGCCACTGCAGATAGTTTCTTAGCCTCAGCAGGAACGATTCCTGAGTGCAGAGCCAGAATAGCCCTCAAGACCCACTGGGTGTGGCCCCCCAAGTCCCCACCCCCTGCCAAGCCAAACAGATGCTGGGGAAAGAGGGGGTGACCCATCCCTGGTGTCCGACTCCTGCTGGACAGGACTTAGGAGACTGAAGTACAAGGGGGCAGCAGGAGGGGCGGGTGAGAACAGCTCAGAGGTCACGTGACCCCTGGGCCCAGGCTGGGAGGACAAGGGAGGAAATGGAGGTGAGAGACTGGGGTCTGGGGAGGGGGGAGAGCTGGGATAAAAGGGGGGTGGCGCGGGCAGATGGAAGCAGGATTTGTAAGGGACCAGCATCTGGGGATGAGGTCTAGGGTAGGTGAGGTAAACAGGGCTGGCATGGAGGGTGGGTGTGCTAAAGGAGGGTGGTGTGGGGCTCAGGCTGCTGGGGGGGGGCCAAGGCAGCTCCAGTCCGCATTGTGGCAGGAAGCGGGTGGAGGGTGGCCGGAAGTGAGGATGGTGGGAGAGGGCGGGTGGACAGCTAAGGGCAGCAGCTGGAGAGAGCTCCTGGGCACGGCCGGGCACCTTAGTTGGCTTTCATCAGCTGATGGATGTTCTGGGGAGCTGGAGAAGTAGAAGCTGGGGGTCCTGAGAGTGTTGAGTGGGAGGGTTCTGGGGAGAGAAAACGGGGGCGATTAGAGCAGATAGAAGGGAGGCAGGCACCTTGGCCACTTGGCGCTCAGGGATCCATTCATGCGTGAGGGAAGCCACCAGAAATCCTTCCCTTTTCACAGAAATCTACCCGAACTTCCTTTTATTTATTTATTTATTGAATCACTGTGGGAAAAGTTACAAAGCTTTCAGGTATAAGTCTCGGTCATGCAAATATCAAACACATTTCCCTTTACCAATACTTATTTTTCACCACGAAGAACCCCAATAAACACCCCCAACCCTCCCAATGCCTGTGAGGCGGGTGAATTCTAGTTAACACTCTATCTACTTTGATTAGATTCATTGTTTCGACAAAAGATGCACCATTAGTATTTAGAGTTTACACCCCCAAATCAGGCATGCTAAAAAGGCATTGTGAAATAATTTGTTTTCTACAGCTGGTCAGAAGAATCAAATGTTGTTGCGCGGCCGCTATCACGGCCGCGCGATTTTGAATTTCTGGTATTTTACTTATTAAGCCTGGAAGTATTTCTGCTGGGAGTCAGATAATTATGAGATTGGGTTCTGTGCTCTGGAGGCATGGCCGTGCCGGAGAGCCGCTCGTGGGGGGCCGAACTTCCTCTTATGGCTCTTCTCTACATGGCCATGTCCAGGGTCCACATGTTGTCATGTTGGGCTGAGGTCCCGCACCCTTGTGGTGGCACCAGGGATCACCGTGGCATTGCCACTCTGGATGCCAGGGTATGGGGTTTATGGATTGAACTTGTAGCGTCAGGGGCACACACCAGTCAGGCTTGGCCACTGAGCAGTCTGTGTCCATCCCCAGACTCGGGCCTGGCACAGCCCCGGTGTTTCTGGATGGCGCCATCACAGCGAGTAGAACAGACCAGCGTGAGCTTCCACCTCTGGGACGCACCTCCGGGACGTCAGCCTGTGCCTTGGCTCTTTCTCATCCTTTATTTTCACAATAGTGTTAAGGTTCATGGGCTTATATACATAGTTACCGCAGCTTACCACCACCAAAGGGCCCAAGACTCTCCACCAATGTCCTTATGTTCTTTTTGTTTTTGGGGTCACACTCGGCAGTGCTCAAGGCCTACTCCTGACTCTGCTCTCAGGAATTACTACTGGCAGGCTTGAGGAACCATATGGGATACGGGGGAATCAAACCCGGGTCAGCCACATGCAAGGCTAGTGCCCACCCCGCTGGACTATCACTCCACCCTGCCTTATGTTACTTCAAGTCCGCCTCTTCCTTTCCCCCCTCTGTCCCCATTGCTCGATTATGTCAGTTTTGTAATCCAAGGCCAAGGGGTTTGTCATCCTTCGATCCTGTCTATTCTTTGTTTTGTCTCTGTAATATGAGTGAGGTCATTTTGTCCTTACCTCTCTGACTTATTTCTGGCTTAAAATGATGCCCATCCATGTTGTAGCAAACTGCATGACTTCATCATATAGCTATATAAAATGCATATAAATATCTTATATTCATATAAGATATATTTATATACATATATATTTTATAGCTTTATTCTTCTGTTATCCAACATTTGACATTTGGGTCATTTACACATCTTGGCTATTGTACCAAGTTCTGCATTGCTTGTTCTGTTTATTTGCAGGGGTTTATTTATCACACCCAGCAGTGCTCAGGGTTTATTCCTGGATCTGGGCTCAGAGATCACTCCTGGCATAGCTCCGGGGACCAATACACTGTGTTAGAGATTGAGCAGGGGTCAGTATGAGTTGAGTGTCTTAACTTTTGGTCGTTTTTGGTTTTTGTTTTGCTTTTTTGGGTCACACCTGGTGATGCTCAGGTGTTAGTCCTGGCTCTGCACTCAGGAATTACTTTTGGTGGTGCTCAGGGAACCATATCATATGGAATGCTGAGGATCGAACCCAGGTCGGTCACATACAAGGCAAATGCCCTCCCTGCTATACACCATTGTTCTAGGTCCATAAGTGCCATGACCTCTGTGCTCTCTGTCCCTAATCGTTGCTCCCTTGTCAGGGACACATTCCGTGCCTGCACAGAGACCCAGGTTTGAACCCTGTCATCCCTAACTCAGTACCATGAGGTGTGGCCCTGGAGGCTCCTGAGTCTGTGGGTATCGCCCTGGTGGCCCCCAGCACCTTTGAGTCCAAACAGCACCTACCTTTGTTTTTCAGGGGGATATTTGGGCCACCCCTGGCACTGCTGAGGGCTGCTCCTATCTCTGTGCTCCAGGTCCCCGGCATGCAGTAAGCCTCACTCAGACCACTGGGCCATCTCTCCAGCCTGAGCAACTCATCTTGAGAACTTAGCCTGGACTTGTCCAGCCCTGTTGGCTGTATGTTTTGGGGAGTGACCCCTAGGTACCCTATTTGGGAGACTCTCCATTCCCCCAAGACAAACAAACAGATAAAAAGCAGTGCGTGCTTCTTCCCTGTCCCCATTTCTACCGCTTTCCTTCCCTGTGCTCCAGCTGGCTAAGGCTGCTTGTGTCCGACCCCCTGATATCTATGTATTTTGCCTAAGTGTGATTTTTGATGTAAAATGTGTGCCCATAATGTGTTTTTATTTTGATATGTGTTTTGGGGGCCATACCTGGTGGTACTGGCTCAGGCCTCACTCCTGGCGGGTTCAGGGAACCATATGTGGTACCAGGGATTGAGCTGGGGTTGGCCACATGCAAGGCAAGCACCTTACCCGCTAGCCTTGTAACTTTTTTTTTTAATTGAATCTGGATATTTGTTTTGTTTTGTTTTTGTGCTCTACCTGGCAGTTCTCAGGAATTAGTCCTGGTGCTACACTCAGGGATCAACTCCCGGGGGTGCTCGGGGACCATATGGGATGCCAGGGCTCAAACCTGGGTCTGCAGTGTGCAAGGCAGGCGTCCACATTGTCTTATCTTTCTAACCCATAATAGGAGTTTTTATGCTTTCCCTGCTGGAGGGAGACACACACTGCTTAGGGGCTTGATATCTATCACCCTCCTGGGCTGACCTCTGAGTCAGAATGTTCATTGCCCGGGGGGGGGGGGGG